AGTATATCAAAAAATAACACTCCTACTTGTTTGTATTTAGTTGCATTAAATATTTATTTATTTGTCTTTTTCCACTCAATGACTGCTTTGAACTACTATTTACTCTAATTAAAGGTTCAATATCAATAAACAGTCAAATTAATACAAAATACTCTCAATGTCACACACAATATTTGCGGTATGAGTATCACAAAGAATTTAATTTAAATTTTAAAAGTAACAAAATTTCTTAAGAAATGAATTTGAAATACTAAAGGTCTGAATTGAAAAGTTTTTGTAGCATTACATTCTTTATATTGTAATTGCTATTGCTGATGCTATAAAAAAGGGGTCGCATTTCATTGTCTGCTGTCATTGACTTGTCTTAAGTTTATTTTATTTAACTTTACAGCCAGCACTTACAGCAGCAATTTAAAATGTAACAAAAATCAACAACAACAAGAATTTCTAATTGTTATGAGTGGGTTTTTGGTTAATAAATGATGATTATGTTGATGATGCTGACGACGTTGAAAGTACTGGAAAGATTCTTGGTTGACAGGTTTAAATGTTTACTAGGGTGTGGTAATTTTTATTTTCAACGTTTCATTTTCAGGTTTTTGTTTTCGGTTCAAAACTACACTCAGCATAATAACAAAGATTACACAATTTTCATTGTTTTTCTTCATTTGTTATGTTTTTTTTTTTCGAAAGAAAAAACCAAATAAAAACATTTTTTTACCAAACTAATGAAAAAATGGGGTTTAAAATGTTAAACTTTTTATGGACAAAAGGCCAAGATACAAGTAATAAGCCAGATCAAATCTAACTGTAGAGTGGAAAAAAAACGGCGAAAATAAACTTGTGAAAAGCAGTAAAAAAATGCAGATGTTGACATATATACAAGACCTTTTGACAAATTATAAGCCGATAGTAATAAATTTAGTTACAACAACTAACATCCATACCATATTAGCGTTAAAATTTGACATAAACCAGTTCTATAGGAACCAACATCTTCTTGTAAAATTTTATGAGAATCGTTGTATGTGTTTGTTTGTGGTTTTATTTAAAGTCTATAAATAGCAAAACAGATGGACCGATTTTCCTGAAATTTTCTCCGTACCTCTTCCTACAGTATGGAAGGAACTGAAAGCAATATTTTGTTTTGCAATTTTAAATGGGGCAAGGTACACGCCCATATACAGAATGCTAGAAAACTTAAATTTGGCTCAGATAACTTTGACATCTACATAGTTAGTTAGTTAGTTTGAAAGGAGGATGTATATACATCAAATCCGAAGAAATACACCTAGGCCTCTATCGGGCCTGTTGTGCGCTCCTTAACCAGTGCCTCAGGTGGGAATCGAACCCACCACCTCCGGTCTACCAGACTAGAACACTAACCTACCGGAGGCCACATCTACATAACTATTTTAAGAAAAAAATGGGCGGTCTAACAGTAGCGGGCGTGGCATCCTCCATATTATTCAAATACTAAAATGCTTAAATCCAGGAAATTATAACAGCTAGAGTTCGCAAATTTTGTCCAGTCAACTTTGATACCTCACCGGGGCATGTTTCCTTGATGAAGACCCAATCTTGGGTGTATTACAATCCCGGGGTATAGAGGTGCTACCACATAATCTGGTACAACGGGTGGCCAGTTGCCTGCAGGACTTGTTCTGGCTGCTCAGTTGGTTGCGGTTCCTTCGGGATCCACGTAGAGTGATGCAAGGTGAAATCTATATTTCGGGATAAGTTCGGTGCTGTTGCCGAATGACAACAGATATCCAACATAGGGGATACAGTGGGACTAAGCGTTGGATATGGGTTGGTGTTAAATATATATGATACAGGATGAATATAGAGGTATACGGATCTCATCTGCCCGTATACCTAGTATGAGTCTGTCGTATGTTGTTCTCTTATGAGTGTGTCGGATATATGAGAAGTGTGCAGGGTTGAACGGTGATGGATGAAAAAAAACTCTGTTCATACCAGATTTACCACACTGTGGTTACTCATAGAGACTATGAGTAAGAGCAAACTCTCGGCTTATTTGATGGATTCATACTTCGGTCTACCGGTAACATCTCTAGGTGCTGTTGCCGACTCAACAGAGACTATTCCATCTGCGTGCTTGTAAACGGAAGTGATGTTTTTGCATCTCGGAAGTTAAGCAACGGCGCAGCAATGGTCTGAGATTAGATAGCTCAAGTATTTGAGCAAAGTGCACGTATACTGGACCGGACATTCCATATACGTAAATTGCCACCTGCGTGTAAGATACACGTGGTGAGTCGTCTCATAAGCTCAACCGGTGGTTGAAAAAGACCACCGTGAATCAGGCTAACACGGCAGGTGTTCACGTCAAGCAGTCGACATTGATTGTGAACTTTGATATAGATAAGTATTTTGGAAAAAAACAAGCAGACTACCATTAGTGGGTGTGGCATCTGGGAAATTATAAAAGCTACACTGACCAAATTAGGCGGTCTAGAAGCTAGTAAGTGGGCGTGGCATCTCTCATATTAATCAAATACAAAAGTTATTATATCGGGGAAACTATAACAGCAATAGTCCTCAAATTTTGCAAGGTTAACTTTGACATTAATATAAACAGTTAAAGGAAAAATGGGCGAACTATTAATTGTGGGCGTGGTATCATTCATATAAATACTAAAATGCATATATCTGGGATACTATATCAGCTAGAGTCACCAATTTTGTTTCTGAACTTTTTTTCTAATATTAAATTTTTAAGTTTTAATGCAAAAATTGAAGCCCAAAGTTCTGTCTGCCAAAAAAAGGTTTTAAACAAGTAAGAAATTATAGTCGGGCGAGGCCGACCATATAATACCCTACACCTTTGACAAAAATATAATGTGATTTAGTTGCCATAATAAAGCATTTAAGTTGAATTGTACCTTACCTTAGATATACATACTTACGCCGTTTATTGTTGAATAAAATTGTGGACGTTTAAGTGAAATTTTGATGGGGGCTTTTCATAGGGGCTAGGGTTATATGAGAATAGTCTTGTATACAACTTGGTTTTTGCAGCTTTTTGTCGAGATATGAGTATATTAAACATAATTATGAACCTAAAAGCCCTATTCGACGGGTTCAGTTGTATGGGGGCTAGGTGAAATAATGTACCGATGTAAACCATTTTCAATAGGATTCGTCTACGGTACCATAAAAGATCATGTGCCAAATTTCATTGAATTATCTCCAAAATTGCGACCTGTAGTTTGATTACAAGTTTTAAAAGCCCTATTCGGTGGTACAGTTGTATGGGGGCTAGGTGAAATAATGGACCGATGTTAACCATTTTCAATAGGCTTCGTCTACGATACCATAAAAGATCATGTACCGAATTTCATTTAATTATCTCCAAATTTGCGACCTGTAGTTTGATTACAAGGATTACAAGCCCTATTGGGGGGTTCAGTTGAAATAATGAAATAATGGACCGATCTTAACCATTTTCAATAAGCTTCGTCCCTGGGACAATAGAAGATCATGTACCAAATTTCATTGAATTATCATCAAAATTGCGACCTGTAGTTTGATTACAAGGTTTACATGGACGGACGGACAGACGGACGGACAGACGGACGGACATAGCTAAATCGACTCAGAAAATTATTCTGAGCCGATTGGTATACTTTAAGATGGGTGTAGGACCAATATTATTGTGCGTTACAAACATCAGCACAAACCCAATATACCCTCCCCACTAAAGTGGTGTAGGGTATAAAAATTCCAATCTAATCAAAAGTTATAGATTTTTGACCTCCATTTCATAAAATGATTCACTGTACGTCCCTCAATTATTCTTAAGGGAGATTGTATTTAAAATTTTTTTTTTTTTTTTTTTCAAATGTTTGTAGAAGAAAGAAGTTTTATTTACTTTTTCTAAAGTTTAGATCTTTCTGTAATTTTGCTTTGTAATGAAAAACTCATTAATTTTTCTTTTGTAGCTTCAATTATAACCAGAACAGTGGTAACAGTGACACAAGATTTATTTTAACATTTTAAAAATTTATTGGTTATTTAGTTAAGGCGAAATGCTAGATGTTCCTTAGCTGGAATTTATAAAAAAATATTCAAAAAATGCTATTGAATTATTTGACAAAGCATTTGAAATTTAAAATAAATGTTTTTTTTTATCACATCACTCCACTGTAGCATGTAGTTAATGGTTTGTTTTATACCCAAAAGATTTTAAAACAAACCACAAAAGGTCCAACTCAATAAAACAAAAGTCAATATGAAGAAAAGGAGTAAAAAAAAGGATATCTAAAGCCACAAAATTAGTTGTTTTTAGGATTTTACATTAAAGAATATTTCGACAATTGTGTGTTTATGTATAAGTGTTTAAATATTTGGTTATTGCTGGTATTTGTGCAAAATAACTTAGATGAGTTACATGATTTGCAATTAATCAAAAACAGAAAATGAAAAAGGAAACAAATAATAATGATTCCCTTCAGAAACTAAGTATTCACTTCTATGAATGGTGTTTTATATTCTTGTTATTGATGATTTTCTTTATTCCTTTTCATTGTCAATGAAATATTTCAAACTTTATGGAAATGTTTATACCCTATACCATTATTAGAGGAGAAGATGTTGTGCGCTGGTGGTGATGTTTGAAGCGCATACAAATATTGGTCCTTCGCTTTAACAAAGCTTACATATCTGAGTTGAGTAGGTTATCATTGGTCTATGGCTTCTTCAGATTTATCGTTTGAAGACTATAATAACGAAAATGACAAAATCTCGCTATTAAATTTCAAATGTCTATAAGTAAATTTATCTCTCTGTCATCTTAGTGTTTTAAGATGAATGTATTTTCCAGTACAATTCAATTTAAAGTTTTAAATATAAATTGTTTTATCGCCATTTCATCACTTCTATTTATCTTTCCAATTTGATTCATTGTTGATTTTTGATTTTACCACCCAAGTTTTTTTTTCTGTCTGTTTTGACTATTTTGAAAAATGACTTACCGTTAAAAATTCCATTACTTGATTGGCATTACATTCGTTTTTAAAAACTGCAAACATATGGTGATTATCATTATCATCATTATTCTTTTGAGTATTTTTCGTACTTCTTATTATTGTTATTGTTTTATAAATTGCTGTTTATTTTCTCGTCTATATAAATATCGATATCTGCTGCTGGATCTGTAAAGATATTAAGAACACACAAGAAGATGTACAAAAATGTTAAGTTGTGATAAAAAATCAAGCGTAAGTAAACATGAATGAACAGGTAATTTATAGATACATATAAGAAAACTTATTTTCTTTTTTTCTCTTTTTTGGAAAAGTTTATGTTGAAAGGAAAATAATAATAATGGCAAGTAAACAACAACCATTTTTTATTTCTTCTTAACAAATAAGTCGGAAAATTTATAGGATATTGTATATAAAGTATGAGTATACAGTCTACGTTGTCATTGTAATTTCTGATATTTAATTTTTCTTCGACTTGTGGTTTTACTTCTCTTTAACGACATTTAAATTTATGTGAATATAATGTACCATTAAATTGTACATAATATGTACTCTTCGAATGGTTATTAATGCCTTAAAGTAAGTAAGTATTCATAGTAAGCATACATATTCATGGATGTCGAACAGGATGTACTTTACAGGATATCCCCAAGGTAAATTTTAGTTGTGTGCTTAATATTGGATTGTACTTTCGTATTTATTGTAGATCAATTTATTGTGAAATTTTATTGAATACTCTAGATTTACATACAAATGTATATTGAATGTAAAAACAAGTTAGAGTGCTATATTCGGCTATAACAAATCTTAAATACCCTCCACCAGCAGGCTACTTTTTATTAAAATCCATTTAACTATCTAATTTTTAGATAACTTGGAAAAATTTTTGTTTCCCTATTGAGAGTACTAACATTTATATGTCAAACTAATTTTAATTAGGTCTAGAAAAATTTATATTAATAGGCCAGTTGGAAAACATTTTAATAGAATGATTTATCTAACACAGAATATACTCATTTTGAATTTTATCCGAATATAATCATTTAATAATGAATTAAGTGGTATTAAGTGATTTTCAGAAGTATATCTTATATGGGAGCTAAGACAACTTATGGACCGATTCGGGAAAAAAGTGGTAAAATGATTTATATGTACACAAAACATATTCAAGTCGAATTTAATCCTTATAGTTTTAGAATTTAATGAAATATATGCGTTTAAGTGATTTTCGAAAGTGGACCTAGGGGAGCTATGACCAATTATGTATATATACGGAAACATATTTGTGTCGAATTTTATCAAGATAGCTTTACTTGACAATGAAATATGTGCTTTTAAGTGATTTTCGGAAGTGGGCCTTATATGGGAGCTATGACCAATAATGGACCGATCCGTAAAAAAAACTTTGTAGAATGATTTGTATGTATGTATATAAAACATATTTGTGTTCAATTTTTACTCAATAGCTTTATAATTCAATGAAATATATGCGTTTAAGTGATTTTCGGAAGTGGACCTTATATTGGAGCAATTATGAGCCTATGGGGAAAAAATTTCGTAGAGTGATTTATATTTAAACATATTTGTGTTGAATTGTATCAAGATAGCTTTATTTGACAATGAAATATGAGCTTTTAAATGATTTTCGGAAGTGGACCTTATATGGGAGCTATGACCAATAATGGACCGACTGAGATCTATGTTAATAGTATGATTCTGTTCATATTATATTTGCATGTACAAAATTTTGTGTTGATACCGATATATTTCAGGGAGTTATTAACGATAAACAAATTTCCGGGAATATATACCTTTGTATGGGGGCTATGGGAAATATTGGAACTATTTGATATATTGTAAAGATGTTGAACACAATTGATCACTTGTGACAAAATTCATCGAAATAGCTTTGGTAGTTTCAGAGAAAACTTCAAAAGTATTAGGAAAAAACGTATTTTTTTTCGAGGTAGTCTGAAATTTTTACTCATAACTTTTTGCTGATTTTCAACACCAAACTGCTTAGGATAATAATAAATATTTTGGGTGAATTTGGTTGATTTCCTTTGCTTAGTTTTAAAGTGCACGTGTTTTACACTGACAGACAGACGGACAGACAGACATAGCTAAATCGACTCAGAATTTCATAAGAACCCAGAATATATATATACTTTGTTGGGTCTTAGATGAATATTTCTTGGTGTTACACACGGAACGACAAACTTATATATACCTTCTATCACCACTGATGATGGTGGAGGGTATAAAAAAATAAATTTCCTGTTACCTTTAAGTATCTTTTGCTAAAATTATACATTTAAAAATATTAAAAGAAAATCAACGAAATGACTTGTTAGTAAGAATTTATCACTCTATTGAAATGTTAAGAATTTGTTCCATCATGTCCCTTAAAAATGTCTCGTCTGAAAATCACTAATGTCGCTATATGACACCATCAAAAGGCGGCTGAATATAGCACTATAACTTGTTATGTTTTGCAATTACAAAGATGTAAAGAAATGTGAAAACATTTAACAATTTTCTTGTTACTAACACAATTTGTCGAAAAAAACCCCTCTTATTAATCAGGATCTGTCTGGCTGTCTTTGATGAATAATATAATTTCAGACGTTTATTATGATAATTACTTATGACACAATATTTAAAGATGAGTTTGAGAGTTGCGTGTGTAATTATTATTTTTAGACGTTAGAAATTTGGCAGCTAACGTATGTCATTCTTTTCTCATATGACAATAACTGTTTTATTTGCAATTCCTTAATATTTAAGACTTTCGTACCTTAATGCTAATAAATATGTATTTACATTCATACATCTTCACACTTTTTTCACATTTTAAGTCAACAATTCTTATTTGACTTTCATATTATTATTGTTGTCGTCGTCATTGTTGTTATTGTTAATATTGTTCATTTTGTTGACGCCGTTATTGTTGTTTTCCTTTCAAATAAACATTTATCAATTATCGCATTTTCAATGTACATACATATATTATTAATGTTTGCTTGACTGTATATGTATTTGTATCTGTGAATTTATGTATATTTACACACATCTGTACATAAATTATAATCATGATTATCACCATTTCCACCATTGTCTTTAAGAGCTTTAACGAATTTATGTGACAAATTTTCCAAAATTTAATTAGCATTTCAGTTAAAAGCAATAACATTTATCAATGGTTGTGTTGATGTAAGTAAGTGTGTGTAAGTAAATGTGCAAGGACATACCTATACATATACATACATATAAACATTTTAAGTTATGCCAGACTTGTAGTAAGTATATATTACTGATATGTTTTAAATTTTTAGATTGAAACATAAGTAAGCATCTGGTATTTTGCATAAAATATGTTGATAATATCAGTTGAGAATTACAATTTTCTCATTGTTGCTTAAAGTTAAAAAGGAATAAATTATGATTTTTTATTTTTAAATTTCTATATGTTTTTTAACCTTAAAGTAATAATAAATATAACAATTTCAACTTAATAGTTGTCTGTTTTCTGTAAAAATATTTTGAGTATACTTAATGTTAATTAAAATAAATAATAACACTCATACGCCTAAGAACTATTAACTTCTTATGCTAATCGGTTAATTTTTGGATCCTGGTAAAAAGTAATTTTTTACTTGCAAATCAAATGAAAAAACTTTAACAACTTAAGGAAATAAATATTTCCTTGAACAAAATATTAAACAAAGGAAAATTTTGAAATTATTAAAAAAATATGTTTTGGAAAGATAAAAAAAGAAACATATGTCATCATCATTTACAAATTTTAAAAACAATTTTAAATATATTCATAAACTCTGTCTGTTGCTTTGGATTTTTTTACTATTATTTTTAAAATTTATTATTGAGGTTAAATTGTGTCTATTTGTTGCCACAGCAACAATGTCTAGTATGAAATTCTTATGAAATAAAATAAATATTTTTCTTTGTTATTTCTTTTGAAATAAATATTTTTTTTATATATTTATATTTTTTATTATTACATGAGGTTTTATAAATATTTTATAAATTTCATATATAAATTGAGTAAAAAATCAAAATATTTTTTATTTTAGTTAAGGGAAAGACACAAACAGTCATAACTTTTGGTGCTAAATCGGAGTTGGTAAATCCGACTGCTATAAACTATAGACTATTCTATAGTCTAGTCTAGGTTGGTCTAGTTTATATATCTAGTCTATAGTCTAGTCTAGTCTAGTCCAGTTAGTCTAGTCTAGTCTAGTCTAGTAGTCTAGTCTAGTCTAGTCTAGTCTAGTCTAGTCTAGTCTGTCTAGTCTGTCTTGTCTAGTCTAGTCTAGTCTAGTCTAGTCTAGTCTAGTCTAGTCTAGTCTAGTCAAGTCTAGTCTAGTCTATAGTCTATAGTCTATAGTCTATCGTTGTCTATAGTCTATAGTCTATAGTCTATAGTCTATAGTCTATAGCTATAGTCTAGTCTATAGTCTAGTCTATAGTCTAGTCTATAGTCTAGTCTATAGTCTAGTCTATAGTCTAGTCTATAGTCTAGTCTATAGTCTAGTCTATAGTCTAGTCTATAGTCTAGTCTATAGTCTAGTCTAGTCTATAGTCTAGTCTATAGTCTAGTCTATAGTCTAGTCTATAGTCTAGTCTATAGTCTAGTCTATAGTCTAGTCTAGTCTAGTCTATAGTCTAGTCTATAGTCTAGTCTATAGTCTAGTCTATAGTCTAGTCTATAGTCTAGTCTATAGTCTAGTCTATAGTCTAGTCTATAGTCTAGTCTATAGTCTAGTCTATAGTCTAGTCTATAGTCTAGTCTATAGTCTAGTCTATAGTCTAGTCTATAGTCTAGTATAGTCTAGTCTATAGTCTAGTCTATAGTCCAGTATATAGTCTAGTCTATAGTCTAGTCTATAGTCTAGTCTATAGTCTATTGTCTATAGTCTAGTCTATAGTAGTCTATAGTCTATAGTCTATAGTCTATAGTCTATAGTCTATAGTCTAGTCTATAGTCTAGTCTATAGTCTAGTCTATAGTCTAGTCTATAGTCTAGTCTATAGTCTAGTCTATAGTCTAGTCTATAGTCTAGTCTATAGTCTAGT